TGAAATCCTCCTCCTGTATTGAATCATCATCAAACATTATACTATGGATTTCTTTTATGTCATTATGTCATTGGGATTCAAGTTGAAGGTTCTGTTTTTCAAATCCATTTAGAGGAGGGGAAATGAATTTAGTTAAATTGTACCTACTGGGTGATTACAATATTTTCTGCATTTACAACTGATTTACAATCTGCCAAAAGTATTGTAGTATTGCAAAAATTAAAAAAAGGAGATATAGAATTCATAAAAATATCGCATCCATAATATTTATGCCAGTTGTCGTGTAACACCTGTGGGGTGAACTGAGCTGCTGCAATTTTGTACCAAACATGTTTGAAGCTCAGTAGTACACTAGTACACTAAGCTCTGAGTTATAATAAGTTAGGAAGATAACATGAAACCCCTCCCTTGGAAGCATGTATTGATGGCAAAGGAGGGGAAAGTGTAGTGGCGATGCACCTGCATGACTAGTGGAAGGTTAAGCCTTTGGCAGCATGTGAAATATTTATGTTACAGATTTAGGTGAATTTAACTGCCAGTTTTGATGAATAAGAAAAGTGTCCATTTTAACAAGGAAATATCCAAAAAATATTAACACATCTTCAAATATTTTTGCTCATGTATTCAATAAAGATTTAGATTTTGCAGCTGATTTGCAGAATTTTTCATTCACAAAATGTTTATTAATTGTTTGTTATATTAATTTAGGCACTTTTCCGTTTCGCCGGCGCAAATCTCGCCAAGCAGACTTTTAACACACACATAAAAAATGCATGTTATGTCACATACAGCACACACATAAAAAATGTTAGTTCTAAGAATTTTTTATTTTGAAGGCATAAACATTTTATACGTTTAAAATTTGAAAGAGCCATAAATAACGACATAAATTTGTAAAAGACATTAAATTTTATTATGCTTTATGGTTCACATCCTGATTCCGGTCATATCCGCCCTAAGTATCTCATCTCACTAAATTACGCTACAAAATCTTAATTCTCTTTAATTATCTACATTATTCAAGTTAAATCTTAATTTTGATGCAGAATTATTTAATTTATTGACAGCTACTCAGAATATGAAAACCGTAGGCTTTTCGCTAATGCATTATATTAGAATTGCTGAATTTAATCTGTTTGCCTTTGCTATATTTTCGCTTCGGTGAGCAGGGGATTGCATAATAATTGACTTAATTACCACGAAGGCCTTAGAGCATAAAATTAACTATCGTAAAATCTATGTATTGTATGTCATATTGAAAGAAACATCAATCTGTAGAAAGGCGTGCTTTGTTTTGAAAATGATTGTGTTAAGTTACCAGCAGGATTCAATTGGCATCATTGTACCATTATTGGCGACTTTTTCGCCTGTGCTGGCAAAACGGAAAGGTACCTTTATTTATTATGAATTTTTATAACATTATTTTCTGAATTCCTTCTTTTTCTTTATGTAGAGAGCACTCGGCTTATGGCACGATGCTAAAATTTGAATATTAACAGAAGATTAATGGGGATAAACATTCATTTTAACAATAAAAACACTTTTTTTTTTAAATTTTAGAAATCAACATATTTTGTTAAAAGTAAAGTTTCATTAGTGTTTGCGTACTATGATGACTACCTTGCCAACATTTGCCAATAAAAGTGTTTATTGACATTTTTTGGTTTATGTTTATAAATTCTTTTAAAAGTAAAAGCCCTAATTATAAAGGAACAAAAACACATTTTTGACATTGCAACTCCAATAAAATCCTGAATTATAAAACTTCATATCATGGCCGTTTTTACAAACGTGTTCTTTGGGTAAAATTCCAGACTCTCTGAAAAATTCTATCGTTTCTTCTTCATTTGAAGGGTGTTGGAAGATGTTGATATCCATTGGGAAAATAATAATCACAAAAGTTTCACGTGTTTAATCTAAACGTAATGATCCGCGTAAATGTAGCAAAAAAAGGTGTGGTAATAGCAAATGAGGGGGCTAATGCAGGATAATAATACTCTTTATTTTAGCTCCCTCTATAACCTATGTTAGGGTTAACCTGTATAATCTACAAGGGTCGCCAGTTTTGGCGATCTATCTAGGTAGTTGTCATAGTATGTAAGTACTGTTTCATTACATTATAACACTTAATCATAATATAATTATTGAAATTCATGAGTCTCTCTCCAAGAAGCACAACCTGAAATATTATTCTAATTCCTTGCAGTCAAAACAAAAAGGTGAGCACACTGATACCAATCCAATGTTTTTCATGAAGGTGTAGATACTTTGCAGCTGTATGCCAATCGAGCATTTTTCTTAAAGGTGTGGGCCAATCCAGTATTTTTCATAAAGGTACAGGAAGACAGACATATTTTTACAGAGTCCCTCTTTTTTCATAAAGATGCTGAAGATTTATATCATCCCCTACTAAATTAATTAGCTTTTATGCAAACAAAAACTGTATTTGCAGAAGACCATTCCTGACAAATGCTGAAGGAACAAGTATGTTTGAAAGAAATAAAAAGTCTTAATTGGTATATTTCTCTTCTATATATTGTATGTCATGAATGGATTCTGGTAAGGATTGAGATTGGATTCATATATGAAATGTATGAAAATAAAATAGTTCGAAGTTAGAAACAGATTTCTCCTAATTTGCTGTATCTTTTGTCAGAGCCCGTGCCAAGTGTTTCTTTCACCTGAGGTAAAAAGGTAAATGCATGCCCCTATATATGTCAAAATAGCTATATTTGTATTAAACAAAAGTAAATGTATTAAATCAAAATATCATAATTCATATAGCATAATAATACCATAATTCTTAAAGTATTTTTTAATCGCAGCTTTATAAATTCAGAAAAATAATATAATATATTTATAACTTTCAAATAAAAATGTTAAAAAATTCTTTTTTTGATAAATAAGAAATAAAATCGAAATGCACATTGCATTAACTTCCAGATTTTCTTGAAATTTTTCCTATTGTTTTATTAATTTAAGTTTGCTGAAGCTTATTTCCCCTAATAATAACTGACAAATTAAAAAATATAATTAAAGTAATTTTCGAATTCGTATGGCCAATTTGGTGCCCCTTCTAGTGATTCACCTGCAGCAAGTGCCTCACTTGCCTCACCCTTGTCACGACTGTGTCTTTTGTATATCTTAAATTTTAATTATGTTGATGCAATTGATACATCAACCTTCAGAATACTTATAACACAGGTCAGTGTTTTGCAATAACATTTGTGAGCACTTAACTTATTAGTATGCAAGGAAGGAGAAGAGAGCTTTCAGTATAATGCAACTCGTGGATTTTTATTTGCGAATTTATTTGATTTTTATTTGTGAATTTGTGGCATTTTATTTATGAATGCAAATATGTTAAAATGTTGATATGTGTTTGAAAAGCATGTTGCACATAAATTAAAATTCCCGTTTTAATTTATCTGTTACTGTAGAGCTGTAAATGTTATTCTGAGATCTTTGTGTAAATTTTATGAATGTGTAATTTGCCTCCCTCCCTCGCTGAAAAGTCGCAACTTGTTGGTGACTAGTTTTCTTTCAAGCTGATGGTGCTTGAATGATAATAATCATTTTCCAGATAGTGGCACACTAATTCCCTATAAAAGCAGTCAATCAGTAAAATTAAAAAAAAAAAAAAAAAAAAAGTATTGGTAACAAAACACTTACCTTTTTCAAGAAATCCTTCTTCTTTGCATTCTTGTTCTCCCCATGTCCTTCCACTATATTTTCATTTAAAAAATTTAAATCATTTTCATTTAAAAAACATCAAAGAATTGCAAAAACTTGGTGCATTATGCACTAGCCAAAGCAGACGTATGCTACGTGCATACCTGGGTTGCCACATAAATACTTTTTAGCGATACCATGGATTGCCACATGACTATTTTGATGAGAGACTGCTTTGCCTCATGAGAACATTTTGCAACTTTTTGGTGGGGATATGGATACTCAGAAAGTACTACAGTCAAAAGTCGTTAATTTGGACAACCATAATCCAGAATGATCTATAATCCGGACCTCAAAGCTAAAAACTTTCTGTGCATGCACCGCGTTGACACATGCGCATAGGCGTTTACGTGTGCACATAAGACCTTTACAACTGTGCATATGCGTGTGCACAAGCGCAAAATATGTTTTCGCGTGCGCGTTTTATGTATAGCGGATGGTTTAAGCTAAAATTATCTAATTATCTATATCAGTTAATGTTGATGATTGCATTGTTCCTTAATCTTCGAATTGGATCCGGCTTATTATTTTTTGCAGACTGTAAGAGCAATTTTATAAAAGTAAACTTGAACTTTCGATTATGTCAAATAAAATTTACGATGCTGGAGCTCCCAAAGGATCTACAAAACGAAAGTATGTTTTGATGTCCATCAAACAAAAAGTGGAATTGCTGCAAAGAATGGATAAAGACCTAAAGAAGGTGACAGAGAGGTTAGTGAAAACGAAAAAATTTCGATTGACAAGTTAGTCGGTATTCTCGGCACAGCAATTACGGGACTTGAACAGCGGAACTTTGTAACTGAACAAGAAATTATGTCTGTTTATAGAATTAAAGAGAAAGTATTATCACATAAAACGAAGCAACTTAAACAACTTACATTGAAAGAAATGTTTAATAAAGTAAACAAATAAATATTAAGCTCTTTTTTTTTTTTTTTTTTTTTTTTTTTTGTAAATTTTGATACCCTTTAGATCATAATTGTTCTTTATTTCATAAATTATGGTTTCATATTTTTTAGAATTTCTGCATGCCATCTTACGAGATTTAAACTGATGATCTATAATCCAGAAAAATCGATAATCCGAAATCGCTGAAGTCCCGACGAGTCCGGATTAACTACTTTTGACTGTACTATTTTTTTTTTTTTTTTAAACACTGAATTGCTATTTCACATGTATGCATATAAAAATGCTGAAAAATATGGAGTACATTAGTGATAGTTTTTAGAGTATTTTCAAAAATGTAATTTTTATTATATTTTGTTTAGGGTCTTCAAGGTACTTTGTCGAGTGTTACCAAAGAGGTTGGAGGAGTTCTTAAAGGCTTGACAAAAGCTGGTGCAAAAGCTTTGAATAAAGTTTTAGATCATACAGCATTAGTAAGTTCATTCTTTTTGTAAATGAATTTATTAATAAGTACAGAATGCAGGACCTTAATGTTAATTTTTGCTCTAATGACTGTTTAACTGGTCAAAATTTTTGTAGTGTTATGAAAGATTTATTTTTTGTAATGCTAAATAATATTTGCAATGCGGCTTTTTATAATGCACTGTTCATAGTCACGATGAACATAATCATTTAATTCTAATCAGATTCTTTTCTTTTCAAAAATTGCATCTTATAACATCATTAAGACAAAATCTGAAAATTAAGCTTTTATAGCTATACTTCCCAAGACATATAAATTACTAATATTTTAATATAAATAAATTAAGGTATATGAATTGCTCTACATCTAAGACAACATCTACTGATATTGAAAGAATATTTTCAAAATCTAATGTGTTATCTAGCAAAATCAAAAGCTTGAAGTAAAAAGTACCTGAAAAAACTTCATATTATTATTTAACCCCTTCGCGCCGACTGTCACGTATACGTGCCAGCAACGAACACACTTATCTACCGGCCGACACGCAGGCGTGCCAGAGCATTGTTGCGTTTTCTACCGAATGTCACGTATTTGTGCCAGTACCTTGGAACGTTTTTTAAACTATAATTTCTGCCACAAGATGGCACTGTATGCCCATATGGTTTCAGATACATGTACATTATACATTCTACTCGAAATGAGAGAAGCATGACTCACATACACATGTTTTTGATTATATAAACAAACGGGGAACTAAATGTTTCCGAATGGCGTGATTTATGACGTCTCTTTAAATCGCACTTTATTTGCACGTGGTAGTTGTTTATATTGTAAGTAGAAGTTTTATATGCGCTAAAGCGTTGAGTATTTCGGTTTACAGTTCAGTTTTTAGAAAATAATTAGATCTTGTTAGACATGAATTCTTTCTGTTTTTACCATTTCAATGTCGAAGCATTGAAAATGTTTAACAGAGCATGAAATAGCAGAAATGATGCAAAATATTTCAGATATTAATTCTGATATTCTGATATTGTTTCTGAAAGATTAACTGAAAGACATTTTCCAAAACTTTGTTCAGAAGAGACTGATAAGAAAATGAGACGATGGTGCTTCGTTTGTTCACATTCCTGGAAAAATCCTCCAAAATGGCAAGTGAGTTATTACGAGTTCAAGGAATGTAACGTAGGACTGTGTGTAGATCCCTGTTTTAAAATTTTTCATACGAAAAGAGAATTTTAAGTAATATATTTAGTTTTCAGATGTATAATGTTAAAAGTCATAAAATGGTGAGTAATTAAAATAAAATGTGTAAAATATGCATTTAAACAAAAAATAAGGTAATTAAAGTATATATATAAAATATCTATAAAGCATAAGCCATTTAAATACTCTATAGAGCATTATTAAACAATGCGTTGATACTTCGGAAATTTCATAGATTTAGGCTTAGTAGCAAAAAAGCCCCCGGCCCTGGAGAGACGCTCGCGGAAGACACTGCTGGCCTCCGCGATAAGCGCGCGTTTTCGCTACCCGGCTCAAAGGGGTTAAGTCTTGCAGATATATATCGTTACCATTTGATATATAAATTATAAATGGAATTAAAATGTTATAAATGTATATATAGGTTGTGGATCTTCAGCTGATTTTTTTTCTGCCTTTATATTTCGATTTTATATTTTAATCCTTTTATCTAATTATAAAAAAAATGTGGTACTTTTCTGTTTTGCCGGGGCAAACGATAAAGTTGCCAATAATGGTACAACTGATGCCAAATGGAATATCTTCACTGGTAACCTTTTACGCTTCCTTTTCAAAACAAGTCGCAGCCATTTCTTATCAGATTGATTGTTTCTTTCAAAATACTGGCATACAATTACATAGAATATTTACAAAAGGAATATCTTCACTGGTACCTTTTACGCTTCCTTTTCAAAACAAGTCGCAGCCATTTCTTATCAGATTGATTGTTTCTTTCAAAATATATACTGGCATACAATTACATAGAATTTTTACAAAAGGAATATCTTCACTGGTAACAACTTTTTACGCTTTCTTTTCAAAACAAGTTGCAGCCATTTCTTATCAGATTGATTGTTTCTTTCAAAATACTGGCATACAACTACATAGAATTTTTACAAAAATAATTAAATTTTATACTCCAAGACCATTTGCAGTAATTAAGTCAATTAGGATGCAATCACACCGCTCACCCGAAGGTGAAAATGTAGGAAAGGCAAAATTAAGGGTTAAATTCATCAATTCTAATGAGAATGCGCTAGCCAAGTAAAGCACTGCAGTTTTACATAATTTCTGAGTAAGCTATTCGTATGAATTGAAATAATTCTGCATTTAAACTTGTATTAAGATTTAACTTGAAATGTAGATAATTATTGAGAGAATTATATTTTTGTAGCGTAGTTTACATGAGATGAGATCACGTTGGGTAACGTGATATGAACCAGTGAATCAGGATGTTGAACCTTGAAAGCATAGTAAATTCTTAAATTAATATCTTTTTACAAATTTCTTGGCTTTTTACAAAATTTTAAATCATATTAATATGTTTATGCCTTCAAAATAAAAGAATTCTTGAAACTAAAATTTTTTTATGTGTATACTGTATTCTGTCGCCAAGCACACTTTTCCTTGGCGAGATTTGTGCCAGCGAAACAGAAAAGTACCAAAAATGTTATTAATTGTCTTGTAGTGTAACTAGTTTTAACAATAGATGTAACTAAAAGCTGCTACACAGTTAGTATCAACGTAAGCTATATTTGTACGTATAATTATAAAAAGGAAAATTTTAAATTCAAAGAAGTTATTTATTTGAAAAACCGTAGCTTTCATATTTTCTGATGCCGGTTAAATTTTAACACGTTTTACCGAAACTGAAATAATGATACTGTTAATCAAAATGAGTATTTATTATATTGGTCCGAAAATTACAATTTTGATGATTTTGATGATAGCTATAAAAACAGTGATATTCATAATTCTATGTTTATTGTATCTAGCTGAATGTCAAGAGTGGAAATGTTATACAGTTTATATCTCGTATCACTGGATTATCATTGCAAATTCTTCAATCACCAGACGGTCGTCTAGTTCTTGATTGTCTTGGGGGAGATGGACATCAGTTTCATAATGGTATATTTTGGCCTTTAGATAATATTTTGATAAATATGCACAAATTTTGTTGCTTCATTTAACTGATTATGAGTAGATGCAATGGACCATTATCATACTTACATATATGTGAAAAACACTTGTGTAAGTGAGGTAATGTAAAATTGCGTAATGTGAAAAAATTTACTAGTTTCATAGATGCAAAAGGTTTCAATTCCATAAATGTGAAATTTGTTCATAAGAGTAAATTCAGTTATTCTGGACATGTATTTTATTGAAATTTTATTTAAAAATAGAAGAAAAAGTAAGAAGGTCAGAGTATGCATTTTTTTTTTAATGTTGATTATTAAATTTTATTGGTACTCTTCTGTTATCGGGACCAGATTAAGAAAGTTATGTATGTATGCACATGTGTATGCATGTATATGCCTATATGCATGCATATATATTTATATACATGCATACATGAACCAGGGCTGTGGAGTCGTTAGGGAAAATGACCGACTCCAACTTCGACTCCGACTCCTTCATATATACGTAAACATATACACATGGGTACAGCTTATTTTTTTAATGTAATTTTAGGAGATACAGCTGTTAAAAGTATTTATGGAATAAAAAATATTTAGCCTAAAAACCAGGGCTGTGGAGTCAGTAGGGAAAATGATCGACTCTGACTCCTGGAATTTTAAAGACTCTGACTTCTCATATATATATATATATATATGAGAAAAAAAATTGATAGTATAGCAAATTATTTATATTAAAATTAGCATTTATTATAAAATGGAAAAACTGGCATTAGTAATTTCTAAGAAACAGTAAAACTTCAGCAAGATCCCCTTTGTTAGAGCACCATAGATACAATTTGATACACTTAGATCTTAAAAGAGTCTTTCCACGCTGACTTGAAGAAGAGCTGTTACTGTTGGGGCTACTTCCTTTAACTTTTCAGGATAGATTTTTAAGTTCTAAAAAGAGGTGTCTTGCAAGAGCAATCATATTTATCTATTTCTTCAAAGGCCATGTATAAATTTTGTTTGTATTTTTCGTTTTTATATCTAAAGGCTCTTGGTTATTTATTTTCATTCGTTTTCTTTTAGCCTTTTCAATATTATCCAAATATTTTTCAAAATCTAATTCATCAGTGGAAGACCATGATAGAGACTCAGTTAGAATATCTGCAGTTTGACTGTCCTGATTTGAATACTCCAGTTGTTCTGACAATAATTTCATTCTTAATGAAAGTTCATAGATGGCTTTCTGGAACTACTCTGATATGCGCCTTCAAGTCGCCAAACATTTTTGGCCAGAAACTCCATGCTGCCATATTACTATCTAAATGTTTTGTCCATATTTTGAAATATCTCAAAAGACGCGGTTTTTGCCGATATGTTTTAACTTAAAAAAACATCTACAAATGGCACAATCTAGGCAACGAACGAATCTACAAACTATGCACACTTTGCTTTAATAAATTAACATAACAACAATAAATTTCAAAGAATACTATGCACACAGCGTTCTGTTTCAACTTTAAAAAACATCTACAAATTGCACAATCTAGACGCTATGCACCAATCAACAAAATTAACTAAAATAATTAAAATAAATTTCAAACAATTTAAAAAACAACAATAACAACAGAAATTCATACTAAAAAAACAATGAACATAACATTCTATGAAATAAGAATAAAATAAAATGCACTTACCATGAATTAATGCTTTTTCGAACAGCAGAAATACCAATTTCATACCACCTTCAATATGCTGCCACGTAATCACTATGGTATTTATATAACAGCCAGACACACTATCCAAAAAATTCATACTATGGTTCACAAATAAATAAAATTGCAAATAATCACAAATCCCTACCTCAATCATGCACAGCCACTAAAAATAATCTCCCACACCTTTTTTCCACACCTCCAAATACCCACTGCCCCTCAACAGGATGGCCACGATGATTATTCCTTTTGCCAAACTTCAATTCAACAACCTCCACCATTTTATTTTCCCCCCCCCCTATCTTCTCAGACACAGAGCATGATGCAAACCAACAAGCTTCAGCGAAAGATTTTTCAACGTCAACACGGTTGCCATACAACATGCAATCGTGCCAAAAACCAGTGCAGAACACATTTCACTACATTTGGTGAAATTAGGGCATATATCAGAGTTGTACCAACTTTCTTTGCTTTTTTAATTTGTTTGTCATCCAACAAAATTCAACGATTTGGATCTACATGCATTGAACCGAGCACGATCTTATTGTCTAGCAAACTAGTTTCTCTTTTCTTCATTGAAGAAATGATTCCTTTTGCAATAAACCTTCCATTTTAGAAAGAACAAACATCACATTCTTCCAATTTTGCCTCTTGTTAATTCTTCAGTTTGTAGCGTTTTGGTGGCTATATACGGTATAGAAAGAGGAATTTCCAATTCTCCATGATCATTCCACAGTCTTTCTGTTAGTGAAACATTAGGGTTACCTACATCTTCTAACATTCTCGTCTCCTGTTAATTCATCAGATTGTAGCTTTTTTATGACTATATACGGTATTGAAAGAAGGGTTTCCAGTTTTGCAAGATCATTCCACAGTCTTTCTGTTAGTGAAATAGTAGGGTTATTTACATCTTCTGAAAATGTTCTTAATCCTAACAACCACTATATCATCAAATATATACTTCTCCATTGTGTTGCTCCTTTTCCTGCTTGCTTCCTAAGAATGGCATCAATTTTGGGAGTTCTTCTGCTTACCTAAATTCACCAATGAGATTAGTAACTAAATTAATCAGTTTAATTAATAATGGCAAATATCTTGCTCACTTCTATTTATTTACTAATAGGTCAATAAAATAGAAAATAACTATTTATTAATGTATATAGTTCATAAATAAAAATGTTAACTCAGTTTGTCATTATTATTATTATTTTTTTTTTTTTTTCAGTTCACTTTAATTTCATTTCAAATTCAAACTGTTCAATAAAAACTGGAGTTGGAGTCGATGCATTTTTTAGTGACTCCAACTCTGACTCCTTTTACCCAAAAAATCTACCTGATTCCGACTCCACAGCCCTGACATGAACACATGCATCCATACACACATGCACGCATATATGCATTTCTAAATTCGGTCCCGATAACAGAAGAGTACCAATTTATTTTGTGTTTTCTTGTTTGTATTTAATGAAGTAATCGAGACTGGGTAAATGTTAAAATTGAAAGATTAGAAATCTTCATTAATTTTGTAGAGCAAGTTTTTTTTTTTTTTTTTTTTTTTTTTTTTTATTGCCTTTTCTTTGCCTTTTCTCTCTCTTTATGGGCATGCACACATAAAAGTGAGCTTGAAAAGTTTATCAGAAATTAAAGAAGTTTAATTTCATAGTTGTCCCTCATCTAAATCAAGATCTTTTGCTTCACATGAAAGGGAATAATTAAAAGCATTATGTTTCTGCTACTCCAAAAGCTTACTTCTTTTCTTTTTCTACTTTTCTGTATACTGCAATTCATTTTATGCTAAAAAAAAGGTTTGTTCATATTTAATTTATTTTTCTTAATTTTTCATGTATAGAAATTTTTTTTTTCTAAAGGGGGATGTCATGGTATGTGCATCTATAAACATCTTGTGAATCTAGCAAAAAAAGTAAGCATTTTAAAATGCTGGAATTTTCACTAAATCAGTTCCATATAGCATAAGTTGGTACCAAAGATATTAGTTATATTAACTAGATTAGTTACATTTAAACTTTCTAGAAAGCACTATTCATCTTGCAGAAATTTGAGCCTCTTTGAGCTTCAAACATGTCACCGAACAATTGATAATTGTTGGTTAGACAAATTCAAATACATCTTCTCAAAGCCATTTAGAGTGTTTGTACTTAGGATCTGTCATGGTGATTAGTTGATATTATTGATAGCCCTGATGTCAATAACCAGTCTGTGTGAGGATGGCACTAGGCATTTTGCCACCCGGTGCAATCTTTTTGGTTCCTAAATTTTGCTATCTGCTGCCTCCCAAAATTCTGTTGTCCAGTGTGTCTCCTTAAGTAAAAAATTACTGCTAAGTTTTGCAATTCAATGCTTCTGCAAATTCTGAAATATCTGTCACTCCTAAATTCTGCCACCTGTTACAGCCAGTTACATCAGCTCTAGTGGCAGCCCTGTGTCTGTGTACATATACATATTTTGTCTAAAAAGTGCAGGATATGTATCAAAACTCCTTGGTTGTATTCATGTATCATTATGGAACTGTCTAGATTAGTAATACTGATATCTATAATTCTCATCACCAAGAGTTTTCTGACATCATTTCCTTTCATAGTGTTTCATAGTTTTATAGTCTCAGGTAGTAAATGTGCAATATCTGAGTTAGAAATAGTAGTTTGATAGTGTTAAGTAGTAGTTTGTCTTACTGGTGTGATGTACATCACATCGGAAATTAGCAGTATTTCAATATAAATAATAATATTACTAACTATTCTACTTCATTAACTGTTATGTGAATAATGACTCTATGAAAAACAAGATACAGCAGTGGAAATGTGTGCTACATTTGCTAGACCACATGGAGAGGGAGCACATGGTTCTATCTTCTGAGAAGCTTCCAAAATGTTGGAATTTTAATAAAATAAGGAATTCTGCAATAAATGTGAATCATTAATGATTTCAAAAAAATTGGATGCAGAGCTTGCAAAAATGTTGGTGCTCTGAGAGCAAACCATAAAGTACAAGAACATTTTTCAACATTGAGCTTCAACATTCAACTATTGTCAGTTAATGCTACAGTAGAAGATGAATCAGATTAGATGTTTTCTCATTGTAAGACAATTTTCTAGCTTAAAAAGTGTTCAGCTCATTAGGCAACTTTTTCAATACTGGAAGAAACAGAAACTAAATCTGTGAAAACTGTATTTACCAAAGCTTTTGAAAATGTAAAGGAATTAAATGCCAGTATATTTAGAACAACCATATATAGCAATTTAAAAAAATTAAGCATTGATTTTTCAGAATTTTAAAAAAGAAATTTATGTCCAAAATATGAATAGAATCAATATACACTATTTTTTAACTCCAGTTATCCATGTATTAATGCTGTGTATCATATTGTTGTATAGATGAAAAAGCAGTGTAATTAAGAACAGAGATGAATAATTAATTCACTTTCCTTATAGGTATAATCACTAAAATAATTCAGTTGTCCTCTCTCATTATTTATGTAAAAAGCAGATCTCCAGAAATGAATAAGCTTGCTAACCCATTCCTTGAATAAAACTTAGAGATGTGTGATTATCCACATCCCCACCAAAAAATCTCAAAAAAGTAATGGTGAGGCAATGCACAATGTTAGAAAAAAGTATTTATGTGGCAACCCAAGTGTGCACTTAGCAGTCATGGATTTGTGCTTTAATTGGTCACTGGAAATTAACTAGTCATTTTTCTGATTAGTATTTCTTTTTGCATTGAGTAATTTTGTTTTTGTAATGGGACACATTGTAATGGGACTATGGAATTTACAAGTTGATGAAAGGAAAGCTTTTCATTTCTTTATAAATATGGTATTTTTCCAATAATAAAGAATGTAAAAATTCACATTTTGTGAAGTTTCACTTCTTAAAGAACCAAATTTTATGGAAATGCAATATAAAGAATTACAATCAGTGTGTTAGAATTTCAGGTCAGAAACTTCTTTGAAGATACCCATACCTTATTGCTTGCTTTATTTATTGTTGAATAAAGGAATATATAAGTTATTTATAATCTGTAAGGAACAACTGGGATTATATCCAAACACACTTATATGTTAAAGTATTTTCATGAAATGTATGAAAAAAGAAGAATGTAAAAAGTAGGCAGCATTAGATGCATTTTAGAAACAGATGTAAAGATTCCCAAACAAACATTTCTGCTTAAAGTTGACAATAGTTTGCAATTTTTTGAGGGGCTGCATATAATCAGGAAGTACCAGTGTCATGGTTGAAGAATATTGAAGTTTTTCATGACCTGTGTAAGGAACTCGGTTTTTATGATGATTTTGAGGGAAAAAAATATCTCTTGATGGTTACAAATAATGAAATAATGTTCTCTCTTTCCTTCCCTACCTATCATAAACAAACATGAGTATGTATTTGCCTTTGTTTTTTGCTACGCTCACTCAGTTCACTAAGCTGTTAAAGGGTATAAAAACATGTCAATGCTTCATAGGAATTTGTGAACCTTTTTTTATCCGTGATTTTTTTATCTGAGATGAGTGGTAAGACTGCTTTATCTAGGTTTTCCATTTTTCATGCTGTAACCTCCTATGATCTGTTTACGTTACCTCAGATAATTAGAGTGTTATTGTATATTTGTAAATAGTAACACCTGAACTCCCAAATATTTTGCAACATGTAATCTAAAAAATTTCTTACTTTCACTGATAAATATTATAATTTTTTAATACCTTTCTTTTTTACAGCCCATTTTACAGTAGTGAAAGATAGAGAAGGCTATATCATGCTTCATAACAATTTCAATTATTTAGCAATTAAAGATGGTTTAGCACAACTGTACTCAGCTGTAAGTATAATTTCAATATAAATATTTGTTTAATAATCTTCTTACCTTACTCAGATAACTTAGCAATTCAGGATCCAAAAAACCAGTTTTTAAAACATCTTTTTTAATTGCCAAAATTGTAAGAAAATAATATTAATGGGCAAAATATGAGTAAAAAATATTATATATATGTATATATAACTCAATATCACAACAGCCCTTAGTTGAGTCATGGCCTGCAGTGTCCTGATATCTGCTTTCTTGACATGAAAGAGCCCAAGATGGCCCCAAGATGCATGAGTATATATATGATGGGGGACCCCGAAAAAAAACCAAACTGAGAATGTGCTTCCATTTGTAGCTGTAGTAGAGAGTTCTAGTAGGTACCTTCACAAAACAACTGTACAGACAGTATCAGTTTGTAGGTTAAGCATTTGAGCGCGATGTCGCGTTTCTCTTACTGCTGTCATGTTTGATCTGCAGAGTCGTTATGGCAAATTTAAAATAACAAAGAATGTGTTTGAAATTTTGTTTCCTGCTTGAAAAATCGACAGTGGAAGCTTAACAAATGCTTCAATTTTAAAATATAACATATTGAGCATAATATAACATATCAGTGTTTAAGGAGGATGCTATGAGCCACACACATGTGTTTGAGTGGTTTGGGCGCTTTAAACATAGTGTGATGAGTGATGAAGACTCTGTTCGTTCTGGGTGACCTTCAACATCTCAAAACAATACTGAAAAATCTGCCATAAAGTCACCGAGGATCATTGTTTCATAATCGACCAGATTTCAGAAGAGACTGGTGTGAGTTGGAGCTCATGTCAGCAGATTTTGACTGAGGATTTGAAAATGGGGAGGTGGAGTTTCTGTTAAATTTGTTCCTTGTCTTCTAACACAGGATCAAAAAACCATTTGATTGAATTTGAGCCAGAACTTAAAAAAAGAGATTGAAAGTGATCCAAACTTTTTAACCAAAGTTGTTATGTGATGAGAGTTGGTGTCATGGGTATGACGCAGAAACCAATCAAGGATCAAGCCAGTGGAAGACTTCCAACTCTCGCAGACCAAAAGCAAGACAAGTGAGGTCGATTGTGAAGGTGATAATCATTGTCTTTTTTTATGTTTGTGAAATTGTGCATCAGGGATTTGTTTTCCCTGGCCAGACTGTTAACCAGCACTTTTATTTGGAAGTTTTAAGATGTCTCTGAGAGGAAGTTTGTAGAAAAAGGCCCAGAACTTTGGCAGTCAGGTGACTGGTTCCTTCATCATGAAAATTTCCCCGCACGTATGGCCTTATGAGTGACTCGCTATTTGGCCTCTCGGATGAGGTCTGTCGTTCCCCACCCTCCGTTTTCGGCAGACCTATCCTGTGCAACTCTTTCCTCTTCCCGAGAATGAGGAAAAATCTAAAAGAAAAGTGTTTTGATGATGTGGAGGTGGTTAAAACAGCTTTGCAAAGGGCACTAGAGGATATATTTAAAGAGTTCCCGAGATGTTTCAGACAGTGGAAAAAAGACTTTATGAGTACAGCGCATCCAATGGAGAGTACTTTGAAGGTGACTGAAGGAATTTTGTAAAGAAAGTTAATAAATTAATTGTTTATAGCAGAAATCTGTTTTTTTGGGGGATCCCCCCTCATGTATATATAATATATATATATGCACACATAATTTTGGATTGATTTTAATGCTTAACAATAAATTGTGTATACATATATGTATGCACTTAATTTATCATTTTATGTGTGTGTACATATATATAGATGTACTTAATTTTTATAATTTCTGTCTATATTTATGTATATAGAATTATAAAAATTATCATTACCCCTTTAATGGTGTCTTATTTCATGCAAGCTAGTATGGATAGTAGACTTTTTTTTTAATAACTTGACATTTTGTATGTATTTCACATCCTGAAATTTCTAGATACAAGTTAATATTTCAACTCAATATGTTATATTTTTAAACAGAGTACAATATACAGTCCCACATTTACCCTGCTATTGTTAGAATCATTAATTTTCAGTTCGCACAAAAATTTAAGATTGCAAATACATAAAATAAAACTTGAAAGCTCAGTTATTAATTTTTCATAATAAGCTAGTAAAAGTATAATTTTCTTCAAAGCTTACCTGAATGAAGCTTTAATATATGGCATCCAAAGAGATGCATGTGTTTCACAGCAAATCAAAGCACAGAAAGAGAAAAAAAAATACCATGAGATAGTTAGTTCTATGGATCAGTAATGCCATCTGTAAATAAGTAAACTAGAATAAATTATAAATGATAATCAGGAATGTGAACTTTGAAAATGCGATGCCTGTACCACTACAGGCAAATCACACTACGTGCAAAAAGGATTACCCATCTGCAATACGGACAAAACTGCTAAGTAGTTAAAAAACTTTAGAATAGTATTATTTAAAAAACTGAATTTTCAGCAGCATTGTAAATATATATGTTAATGACATAACTATTGTAAAAAGTAAGGTTCTAAATTTATCAGTTTTTGAGTCTTGATACATGTATTGTGTATAGTTATTGTATGATCTTAAATTCACTTAGTGCGAAATCGAATCTAATACCTAATCAATTTATTAACCATTGCCTTAAACGAGCAGGCGTTAAATACTCACTCTAAATCATTTAACTGATAGAGATATGGTAATTTGTTCCTAAACCTGAGAAGGTGGTATAAGTTGGATGACTATCAGTTGAAGGATATGTACATAGTGTAATTTCAAAGCTGTATATAATGTAAAAAGCTAATTGTCTTCAGACTCATGCTGTTACTAAAAAAATGGGCCTATTTCATGAATCTTTAGTCTGTCAAATAGCTCTTTGACAGTGAAAATTCCTTTTTTTCCTTTTCTTAATTTCTTAATCATTGCGACACGACAATTAGCCAGAAATTAATTAATTTCCATTCACTAGTATTTTCAAAAAATTTTAACAGACGGTTTCCCTCAAATAAGAACTCCACAAATACATCCTCAAGAATTCCGAGTCACTCCCACTACCATAAATTACTTCACCAAGTTTTACCGACTGATATAATTCAAAGCCCCCACTGCCGCTAAGAAATTTTCGGACACCCAACACTTCTGAGTAAGACACGAAGAGAAACACTTTGCCAACTCCCCACTAGAAAGAATGTAAGTTACTTAATACTTTTTCTGGCCTTTATATCTTCATGTACATTCACTTTTCTTATTATATTTTTAATTTAAATTTTTATTTTTTTTTATTTTTTTGATTTGTTTTTTGCAAAGATTTGCATTATATTTCTTATTTTGTAATTTTCTATGTTTATTTCAACTTTACTTTGAGTTCGATTTCATAATGCCAATTTCCAATGTTTAATTTTTACAAATTTTGTAACTTCAAATGCATAAACATGAGGGTGTCAGGGGACGGTTACTCAAGGTAATTTATCAATTTTACTGCATAAATTGCTTTTCACTCAAAATTGAATTAGCGAAAATGCTTAATCAGAATGAGTGCTTTAGTGGTCTGCATTGGTTCTTGATCCCTTCAATTCACGGAAATATTTGGCCTAACTTAAATTGTCAGTTTGGCATCGCCTTATTCTTGAGGAAAGGACGAAACACCTTCGTATTTATTTCTTAATTATTGTTCATTGAACGGGAGTTGGTTTGTTTGTTCCCTTTGAAAAGTCAACTAATTTTTTATCAATGGCAATGATTACTTGCTTTTAATTTTAATTTAATTTCTTTTTACAATTGAAATTTTGTTGTTCGTGATTTAATTCAAGTCCCCGTTAAACATTTTTAACAATTTACATTCAAGTTACTTTAAAACAATTTTCAGAATTAAACTGACTAACTATGGATTCACTCTTTTTAGATAATTCTACTAAAATTAATCTTAGGAGATAATATAATCAATATTTCTTTAGTAAATAAATTATTATTAACTTACTTTGCAGTAGATAATTCTACTAAAATTAATCTTAGGAGATAATATAATCAGTATTTCTTTAGTAAATAAATTATTGTGTATAGATATATATACGGTCTACCGGAAAGTTCTGTCCGTTTTTGGAATAAAACAAAATGCAAATTTTTCTTACTGTCAATAAACTTTATTAAAATAATATAATTGTAATCATTATTAAATGACTTCTTGCCAGCGTGAGGGCAAATTTGTATATCCCATTTTTGAAAAATGATTTAACTTTTGATGCGAAAAATTGAGCTAGTGCTTGTTTGAAATCTACTTTTTTTGAATTTTTTACCCTTCAGAAAATTTTGTAAGGACAAAAACAAGTGATTGTCAGAAGGTGTTAAGGCCGGGGAATATGGTGTATGTAACAGAATTTCCCAGCCTAGTTCTGCAATTTTTTGACAAGTCCCTCAAGCAGCATGTGGCCTGGCATGATTATGATGCAGTACGATGTCCTTCCTGTTGAAAATTACCAGCCTCTTTTCTTGGCTTTATTAATTGCTGACAGTACTTCTCCGAATTGAGCTTTTTGTTCGGTTTTAAAAGCTCATAGTGTATTGTTCCTCGAATGCCCCACCATATACACAACATTCTCCTTATTCAGGGTCAATTTTGGTTTAGAGGTGGGAGGGCTAGATTTTTCTCGGTTCACAATATTCCCTTTCCCTTACGATGTTTCCGTGGGTGATCCACTTTTCATTTCCAGTTATCATCTGGTTGAAGAAAGGCTTCATTTTTTCAGAGCAAGCGGAGATGTGCATATGGCGACTCGATTATCCAAATTCATCTGTCTTAATTCATGTGGCACCCATCTTGAATATTTCCACACCAATCCTATCTTCCGAATATGGTTCGAAATGGTTTGCTGAGCTGAATTAAGCCATTCTGCGACCTTCGATGTTGTCACAAAAGGATCTTGCTCCAACATGATCGTAACAACATCGTCACCAATCAAAAATGATCCTCCAGAATGTGGCTTATCAGAAAATTCGAAATCACCTGTTTCAAATTTTTCGAGCCATCTTCTGCATGTCTTGTCAGGAACTG